GATATACAACAAAATAATTAATAGAGCTCAGGTTAATTTTAAGGGGGAAGTGTTGTACTGTCTTTAAATACCATATTTAATTGTAATATTTATCAGCTGACTTTTTGTTTGTTTTTGTTTATGTGATGAGTTTTTGGGTCTGACTTAGGGGAGGTACAAATGAGGCATTTAGTTCAAAATTCCTCCGCGAACAGCGCTGTAGTAGAGAGCACTTTGGCAATGAAGGTTTACTAATCGCAAAAATAGTTCTGTTCATAAAATAAAATTATAAATGCCTCAAATTCAATTTTACTATTTTTTAATTATAAAATTAAACTATCATAACCTAACCGAACTAACCAAACTTGCTGATAAAGAAATAATATAACAAAAGTTTAGTAATCGGAAAAATAATTCTGTTTATTAAATAAAACTAGAAATTGCTCAATTAAAATTTTATAATGACTTAATAATAAAATTAAACTGTAATAACCAAACCAAACCAACCAAACTTGCTGATTATAAAAAAATCTTGGACAAAAAGTTAACGCTACCAGCGGGATTCGAACCCGGGACCTACTGTATATCAACCCGGCACGCTAACCAATAGACCACCGAGGCCGATGGCTGTTGAACGTTTTGTTACGGTAATGGCGTTCCCTCAGCTAATAAGAAGATCTCAGCTGTCATCGTAGCCTCTTCTATACCTCCCCTGAGTAAATACCTGAGTTTTTGGAAATTGCTATTAAAACAGGGTTGATCTTATCTTGGTTTTATTTTATCTTCAAACACTTACACTAAACCAGTTTGATGGAGATGTCAAAAACTGGATAGGGTTTTGGGGGCAGTTTAAAAAGGTTCATGAGGATCCTGATCTAGAACCTAAGTTCCAAAGTTCCGAACTTCCAATACCTCATCCAATCTGTAAAACCAGGATCATCCCCTAGGGAATTAGTAGAAAGTTTTCCACCATCCAGAACTAATTATGGAAAGGTGCTAGAACAATTAAAATTAAGATTTGGTAGGGATGACTTTTTAATAGAAGTAGGCCGATATCTGAGGGAACAGCTTAGTTTAATGGTCCAACAAGTAATGCTAGGTCCTAATACTAAACTGTGCCGACTGTATGACAAACTATAAACACAGTTTAGGCCTAAGGGCACTTGAAACTTTAGGTGTCACTTCACTTCAAACAAGTATGCTTCAATGCTGTAGGCCTACCCTCTTGTAGAATCAGCTTTGCCCGAAGAAACATTTAGAGCCTGGAAGCCAAAAACGAGCCTGGAAGCAGCATCGTTTAAGTAGGTTACCACAGACACCCTCGACTTCTACATCGTCAGATCTAGTAATTATTAGTAATTTTCTAGAAGAACACTTCTTGATTTACCAAAAGACTGATATTGAGAGTGAAGAGAGGCTGGCACTTGCTCGTTCAAGTTTTAAGTCTGCCACTCCAGGAGACAATAACGAAAAAATACAGCAGCCCCAGGATAACGTCAACGGTACACGAACCTCGTCAGATTCAACCTACGGTAGCAGCTCTATTGACAACTGGTACAGAGGGTCCTAGAGGGTCGGTGAGTAACTGCACTTATTGTTCAAAAGGACATAATGCTCAAGACTGTTCCTATTTTCAACAGTTAACTTTAGATTAAAGAAAAGAGCATCTGAAAAAGAAAAATTACTGTTTTCTATGCTTGAAACTAAGCCACACAGCTAAAGCGGTGTTTACACTGTCGTGGGGCCACGTCCATAACAGGCGTGGTCGCCACGCCAATGGACAGCCGTACGCAAATGCCGTGGCGCAACGGTACCATCCCACGGCCACAAGCAGCCGTGTAGTGTAAACAGTTTTCTGGTAAAAGCGTATCCATTAAAGGCATGTTCATTTTTATTCACGGGTGCGTTATGGATGGTGCTAAAAGATTAATTATTGAAGGTTGTGCTACAAAGAGTGTTATTTTAGCTGATGAAATAGCACGGCATTTAAGTGTTATTAAAAAAAGAACGAAACCAAGCTGTAGCTTTCAATATTTATATCAAATAAACAAGGTTCACTTTGATACAGTTCAAGCATTCGAATTGTTTGAACTTCCGTTAATTTTAAAGACTGCTTTGTTTTCACTGGTTTTGATTCGACTTGTGTCAATGTTATATATTTTTTTTGTTTTCGTCATGGTACTTAAAAACTAAGACGACAACCACTGACTTTAAAGAACAATAGTTAAAACTCGTAGTACACACAACGACGAGACGAAACACAATGACTCCTCACCACGTCTAGCCACGCCTGCAACAGGCGTAGCAACCAAACACGGTTTGGTTAGTTCCAAAGGGCGTGGGGAACAGGCGTATTGGGTTGCCATGTCTGTTGCTCCCACGTCTTCACTGTTTACACGAAGCGTGGCCACACTTGTCAAGAAAGTGGGAAAATTTCTCACCTACACGCCTGACTTTAGCCGTGGCCCCACGACAGTGTAAACACCGCTTAAAAGATGCACGGTATTTGTAAAATGCCTCTTCTGTTGTAAAAGGCATTATGGGATCATGTGTAGGGCCTAAGGACTTATATGCAAGTAGCTTAACCCCTTAACCGCCGTCTAAGTAGCCTAGTCAAAATCCGCCACTGCCACTTATTTTTGCCGTTTTTTTACGATTTTTACTTGTGATTAAAAAAAATTGTACCAGTTGTTTTTTTTAAGAAAATAGTTATCAATATTGTTTGTAGACATCTTCAAAAAAATTAAGCTTTAACACGTTCGCTACCGAGCGACGCACATTTGCGTCGGTCCGGTCACTCTTACAGACTAAAAGGAATGATCATGACGTTGCTTACAGACCAAGTGATATAGGAATAACATTGCCGACAGACCAAAAGAGAAATATCGTTTAAATGGACTAATTGACTTCATAATGACCTTAAGTGAATTAGTAAGCAATAAATATTGTTTTTATTTTTCGTTATGAGCGAATTTTAAAACGCCGCATATATGCGTCGGTCAGTCTATTTAACGAAATCCAGTTAAAAAGATTACATTTTCGTTTCAATAGACCAGGCGACGCACGTAAGCGTCGTTGTAAATTTGGTTGTTTCAAGCTTTTACATAAACAACTAAAGAAACTCCACTAAACACTAGCCAAAACTGCAAAGGTTATAACGTTTACATCTGTTCTGTGATGTCGCGGAATACACAATGTAAACAACAATGTTGCCAACTGTTGTGTGACGTAACCAATCGTCATATCCACGGACCAAGCGGCGCACATTTGCGGCAGATATCCCTCTAGACCGATATGATAAAATCCGGGCTCTAAAATAGACCGTTGCTAAGAAATACGCTGTTTAATAACATTAGAATACCGACGCAAATGTGCGTCGTTAGTCCATTTCAATGTGACCAGCTGACGCAAATATGCGTCGGTGGTCTATTGTGAGAAACGAGTCGACGCACAATTGCGTCGCTGGTCTATGCGAACGTAAATTCCATATAATTGTGGTAGCGAACGTGTTAACAATACTAAAATTTGAGATTGGGGGGGGAGGGGTTTGGGGGTTTCTTGAGTTAGGCCTATAATAAAAATTAGGCCTACAATAAAGTCTACAACTCTAATAAATCGTCATCCTCAAGCATGTCACCAGCTATTACGACTAATATTTACTACTCATTCAACACTACCAAGTAAATAACCACCAAAAATCACAATTATAATGACACGCATAATGTACGTAAGCATTACGTAAGCTTCCGCAAGCACGAGTTTTACTGAAACTACGAACGGAACTGATCGGGACCATTACTGACCTATAATACCTCACTAAAATCCACCAGATTGCAGCACTAGTCAAGCAGCACTGTCAACAACTTGTTTACGTACGTATATCAGAGATAAGGCGGGAAGTGAGCTGTTAAAAATAAAACACAACAGCTGATTACGTCAACACGAGATAACTCGTACGTGGCGGTTGCTCTGAAAACTAGTATCGCCCGGCATATCTCGTGCGTGGCGGTTAAGGGGTTAAGATCTAAAATTGATGTTGACAAACCAGAAACATGTTAGGCCTAACTTAAAAGAAATATGTTAGTAGGTAACTTAAATAAGTTAATTAGTTTTGATTGGAATTTTGATAGGCCTAAGTAACGTTGTTAAACAAAATTCCAAGGTGGGGAAGGTGTTGTAAATTGAGATATTAAGTTAATATAAGGCCAGATTATTCAACATTAGATTTAAGTATTTGTTTGTCTTTGGGTAATTATGTCAACCTCCAGTCAACGCTCTAAAAATTATTAGTTTTTTTTAACTGTTCGTTTTTTGGCGCTGATTCCAAAAATGATAATTTATTTTTTGCGAAAAAGCTCTGTTTTCCAAAAAAACCTATTCTAACCTAACCTAAAATAAAGCCCGCATTCCACAACGGCTTAGAGTCACCCGCAATGCACTATGCGGCAGTTTATCTATGAGTAGCCAGCGGCCCGCTTTTCCAGGGATAATTTAAAATCACCCGCTCTTCCGATCTTAATAAAAATTACATATTCTTGTTTAGGATGAAATTCCGCACAATTTGAGAACCCACAACATGTATTTTGGGCAAAAAAGTATATTTTCCATTTTTCCGGAAAACTGAGGTTTTCCGCAAAAACTGACTATCATTTTTGGAGTCAGCGCTAAAAAACAAATAGGCCTAGATAAAAAAAATAATTTTAGAGCGTTGACTGGAGGTCGACATAGCCTAATTAGGATTTAGGTTAAAGGAACACAGCAATTTTGTTTAATGAAAATTGAGAAATGTAAGCTCTTAATATTTACACCGAGTTCTAACATTAGCCATCAAGTAGGCTATTGTTTTTGTGAGCTAGGGTACAGCGCAGCGATTAGCAGAAACTCTGCCTCTCAAGTAGCCTAAGGTTCTGATTTGTCAAACAAGTAGGCCTAGCTTACAGTACTTAGGTGAGGCTATAGAGGCCTACTCCAAATTTGATACTTTGAAATATATTTTGACGTATTTTAAATACTTAATTTACCTTTAACATAGCCGTCATGACACAACCATAAGTTATTCAAGCCTAGGGATGATGTTGCTAAATAGTGAATAAAGTAACTGTGCGGCTGAGCTGAGCTGAAGACTTTAGTTCTAGTTGTTGTTAGACTTGGTGCTGTGACTGCTGTCGTGCTGTGCTGTGCTGTGGTTCGCGTTCGATACCGTCCGACCGTCGTGACGTGAAGTTAGCGGGAGCGGCTCTTTTCATCGGCGCTTTTTCGGATTGTAATAGATATGGGTTGGTACGCCTGCGGACGCCACAAATTGACAAATGTGTTTAGCAGGGATGTCGGAAAAGCAATTCAATGACAATATGATGCGAAATGATGTTTTTACATTTATATAATAACAATTATACCTTAATAAAACGTGTATAAACGTTAAAACTAATTAGTTCACGTATTGAAATAGACATATTTGAAGCCGTATTGTACATTATACGTCGCTATGGCTTAACAAAACGCGATCAATAAAACTCCTAACATAAAAAAGTGCATGATCTTTTTCCTAAGCCCATCACATCAACTTTGAGCTATTCTAATGGTAATATATGTGGAGTGTTTGAGTAAATTAATGAAAAATTAAGAGAGAAAAAATAAAAGTCATGTTTACAAGAAGAACAGAAAGGAATGATGTTTATTTATACAGGGTGTTTTTTTAAAAACTTGCATCTTTATTTATGTAAAAACCGCAATAGATAGAAATATGCAGTTTGCGGGAATCATCTATTGACGTAGGGGGCCCAATTGCTTTGAATTCAACGTTACATTCACATTCCCCCCCTTTGCCCCCCTGCCCCCAACTTATTTTTTTTAAATAGCAAGGTCCCGCTTGTAACATATCAAATGAAAGAGCATAAAAAAAGAAAATGTTTGATGAAAAAAAATTAAAAATCGGTTCATAAATTTGCGAGATATTTCCCCCCCCCCTTCCCCGGAACTTGATTTTTTTTTTAAAGCAAAGTACCCCTTGTGACATATCAAATGAAAGAGCATGAAAAAAGAAGATTTTTGGTGAAATTTATTTTTCATTTGATACGTCACAAGGGCGGGTACCTTGCTATTAAAAAACAAGTTATGGGTAGGGGAAAAAGGGGGGGATTACCTCACAAATTCATGAGCCGATTTTAAATTTTTTTCCACCAAAAATTTTCTTTTTTCATGCTCTTTAATTTGATATGTCACAAGGGGTACTTTGCTATTAAAAAAATAATCAAGTTCCGGGCAAGGGGGGGGAAATATTTTGCAAATTTATTAACCGATTTTTAATTTTTTTTCATCAAACATTTTCTTTTTTCATGCTCTTTCATTTGATATGTCACAAGGGGTACCTTGCTATTTAAAAAAAATAATTTGGGGGCAGGGGGGGAAAAGGGGGGAATGTGAATGTAACGTTGAATTCAAAACAATTGGGCCCCCTACTTCAATAGATGATTCCCGCAAACTGCATATTTCTATCTATTGCGGTTTTTACATAAATAAAGATGCAAGTTTTTAAAAAAACACCCTGTATAATACAATGGATTATCTTTAAATCATCAGCTGTTTTAGTAATTTAAAAATTCTAAACAGACTAAAGAAAATTTTTAGATAAAAGAACTGAACAATATACAGCGTCCAGAATAATCAGTATGAGTAAGATTGAGGGAGACCCGTAAATTACAAAGCTATATATTAAAAACTATATGGTTGATACGAACTCGTGTCAGGACAAAGTGCACAATCTTTTTCCTAAGCCCATCACATCTACTTTGAGCTGTTAAAATGGTAATATAAAGCGTGTACAATAATCAGTATGAGTATGATTGAGGCAGTCCCGTAATTTACGAAGCTATGTGGCAAAATCTGTAGTTAATAGTAACTCGCATCAGGAAAAATGCACAATCTTTTTCCAAAGCCGACCACATCAACTTTGAGCTATTATAATGTTAATATACAGCGTGTAGAATAATCAGCATCAGTATGATTGAGGCAGTCCCTTAAATTACGAAGCTATAAGCAAGTCTAAAATGGTTGATACGATCCCGCGTCAGGAAAAAGTGCACAACCTTTAGCCTACCCTAAGCCCACCACATCAACTTTGAGCTATTATAATGTTAATATATAGTGTGTAGAATAATCAGTATGAGTACTCGATTGTGGCAGGCTCTTAAATTTCGAAGCTATAAGGCCAAGTCTATATGTTTGGTACAAACTCGCGTGAGGAGAAAGTGCACAATGTTTACCCTGGAGGTCCCTAGAGGCCAAAAACACCATCCGTTTTATAAATTATATATGTGCCCGTTAGCACGATAACTCGAGCATGATACGATTTTTATGAAATTTGGTATAAACCTACATTTATTCGAACGATTTTGCGAACCAGCATGATCCGACTATGGGAACGGGGGTTTATGGGGGGTTTTATGGGGTAAAAATAGGTTTTCCAATTTTTTACCCTAAAAACACAAAATTTCGCAATTTCTTTCGAAACCATTTTGTAGAGCTAATATTAATAAAACAAATAATTTAGTATATTGAACCTTCGTTTGGCCGCCAAATACCTGAATCTAATAATATCCACAAAAAGATTGTATTTTTTTAGCCCAGAGAAGGAAACTATACAGTTTTGATATCTCCTTTCTCATTTCTTGATGTTCTTGCTCAAACCAAGTAGGTAGGCCTAAGCTTAGGAGATTTCTTATACTTCATACTTCTAACAGGGTATAAAGTGTCAAAAAGCTCTGAATAATGCATGAAAACAGATCAGGAAAATTATCACAGGATTGATAGTGAGCCAATTAATTGGTGTTCGGTGTTCAGCATGTAAGACATAAAGTTCTCATTGTTATTTTTTGTCAGTGGGCGTTAGCTTAATTTCCAGAGCCTGATTATCTAGTGCGGCCTTGGCCTGATGGTCAGAGTCAGATAAAGAGGCACTGCAGTAACGTTAACATCTAGGAGTTGTCTTGGGTAGTTGGTAATAACATTTTCGAAACAGGCGGGTCCTCTTGTAGGCTTCTCGTTCTCGTTTTGCACAATAGCAGTCAACAGAGCAGAGAGCATCAGACGGTCCAAGAATTGATAAAAAAAATTCACTATAAAATACCTAAAAGCTTGAAAATCACCCTAACCACCTCACTCTAAACCTATTTGACGATTATTATGTCCGATTTCATATAGTCCTGATTTACTTCGATACTTAAGTAGTCCCTTCCGTGTGCCCATTCCCTTATGAAAATACCGAATGAAGAAATAGCAGAGACGACGGGACGAGGACAGACGACACAACACGACCTTTGATTTGATTTGAAATGAAGAGTGGCAGTGGTGTGGAGAAGGAGAGGTTAACAAACCTATTATTTTGTTTTTGTGGTTATTTTTATTTTAAATTTATTGTATTAGCCTATTTTCATATTCTATGATGACTGATGAGATGTGCGATTGCGATTGGGACTATTGACAGTAGGACAATTTTATTGTGTTAGTTACTGTTATATGTGAAGTTTGCATTGGATAGTACACTCAACATTCAGTAACATAAACTAAGGCCTACCGAAGCTTCCATTAGTTTGGAATTTTATAGGTAGCCTAATGAACAGAATACTGTACCAGGATATAAGGAACAGAGATAGTCTGACTGTACACACAAACTGACAATCCTGCAATGTAACCATCATCATTGTAAAGTAGGCCTAAGTTACTTCCTAGTTTTATTTCTTTACCAAACAATCACTAGGCCTATCACTGCAGTCTATCCCATCACCATCAGATCAGATAGAATGACAAAAGAAGTGAAAGTTAATCTCCTTTGCAGCAAAAGTTGTTGCAAATGTTATGTTTGTGGCCGAAACTTTGGTAAAGATCCCAGCAGGACTTTAAAAAAACATTTGCTATCTCATGTTAAATCCAGTTTATGTGCTATATGTGGTAAGTCTGTAGTAACTTTATCAATGCATGAACGTCGTTTTCATTTTCCTAAGGTTTATGTTGATAGTGAACAGTCAACTGCAAGGTTAAGCCCGAAAAAAAGGAAAGTTACATTGAAGAAAACTCCAAAACTCTCGCACAAAACTGCTTCCCGTCAAAAGAGAAAACGTATACCTCCCAAATGGCAGTGCAGCACTTGTGGAAAGATGTATCAAAATGCTGTACAGCTGAAGGATCATAATTTTACACATACTAATGAAAAGCCATACCAGTGTCAAATTTGTGGTAAGTCTTTTAATGTACGATACAACTGTCAAAAACACAAGATGAGGGTTCATAGTAAAACCCTTTATCATTGTGAGTTGTGTGGCAATGGTTTCAAATCGGTTCCATCTTTGCAAGTTCATGTCAGGAAGCACAGTGGAGAACGTCCTTACAAGTGTCTTGAATGTGACAAAAGCTTTTTAATAAAGCCACATCTTAATAGACACTTATATGTTCATGGTAAAGAACGCCCATTTAAGTGTACAGTTTGTAATAAAGGATATACATCCAACTACGAGCTTCAGAATCATATTGTCTCACACTCTAAAAAAGATTGAAAACGCCTATATTTTGCGTAAGGCTATCCAAACGTAATAGGGTACCACAACTACAAAGCTATATATTATAAAATTAAATATGCTGATAATATAAAAACACTGTTATTAACTGTAAAAACTGTTATTAACGTTTGGGTTCTTGTAAAATAAAACCAGTATAACCTTTGCAAGATCAATCTTGTAGGGTGAAATATTACTATCCAACCCCATCGTACTAGGCTACATAAATATTAAGTTAAGGCCTAAATAAAAGCATCATGGATTTAAGCTTACCGTTCTGCAGAGAACTTACATTTTTTAAGAAAATAATTTAATTCAATAGGCCTTTAACTAATAAAATATTGAAATATTCAAAAAATAATTCGATATTGTAGCCTAAGATGTAAAAATTACTTTTTTACGTTTAAGGAGCAAACTCTCTCATTCATGCAGACATTTTGAGCGAATTTTAGGCTACTTGAATTGAATTGAAACCCAATATTTATGTTTTGATGTAATTTAAAGTTATGTATAACTTATACATTATTAGCTCTTTTCTTCGCTGTTGTTTTGACTTCAACGTACTTCTTCAACCGAAAAAGATTTAAATGGGTAATTAATACT